CACCATGCCCAGCAGCTGCACCACTTTCACCTCCACCCTGCAGTCGCAGAGGCACCGTTTTCGTTCTTGATGGCCGGCCTGCCACTGCTACGGCGTTGTTGTTCATGGTGTGGGTGTATAACGTCTGTTGTGGGAGTCCTCGGGTCTCTCGCCTGGTCGGGACCGGTGTGTGTACGTCGAGCCGTGGCGCTTTCCGTAATTTTTGAAAAATACGCGCCTTCGCGCCTTCTGCCGATAAGAACCACTGGAAACCCTAGTTACGGTTCCGTGAAAAAAAGTTACTATTCGGTGAAAAAAGTTACGAATTTTTGCGGCCTGATAAAGACACACCCTTATTCTAGCTGCACGAAAACGTTTTTCGGTGAAAATCGGCGACAAAACAAAAAAAAAGGTGAGAACCATACAAAACTTTTTCGGTGATTTTCGGTGATAAATTGAAGTAATATTGGGGTGAGCTGCCGAAAAACGTTCTTCGGAGATTTTCGGCGATGTTTCGAAGGATCGTAGTAAGTAACGTCAAATATTAAGCAAAAATAAAAACGTTGTACGAACTCTGGTGGTTCTTTTTGTACGTATGTATCTCATCGTCGACTCATCAGAACACCGATAGATGCCCTCCGGCATGATTCAACTGCTGACTACCTACCGACCTGGTACACAGGCACGCACTACGCACCACGCACTACAGCTACAGATCAGCCAGAGCCCGGCTCGCCCAACAACGTAGACAATAAACCAAGAAGCTCCATCACAGGTCACCGTCGCCATCCTCCGGGGCATCCTCACTCCCTTGCCTCAGCCCTCTGCTACTTCCCCTTCCCCTATTGTACTTCAGTAGTGCGGAAGCGCATATGCGGTCGCTGTACACCGACTCTTGACGTTCACTAAAGCAACACCGCAAGATGGAAAAAACGCGTTCCATGAATGCTGACGACGGCTGCAGAAGAACAATATCCAACACCAACTCGTGCCACGTAGGGAGTTGTCTCTTGTTGTTGCTCCAAAAAGTCATGTTGTCGTAGTCAGCGTCGGTGTCGGTGGCGGCGACGTAGAAGTCGTTCTTCTCCTTCAAAAGTCCGTCCACCATGTCATCGCCGACAAAGGGGAATACCGAGAGGCTGCGGATCTCGTCATTGGAGTACTTGTGAGTCTTCATGTACGTGAAGTCCACGAGCTTTGCGGCTTTGAAGAGCTTCATTGTTTCAGCCAGCTTCGCCTCAGAGTGGCTGCCGATCCTCTCGTGTGCGTACGCGCGGAGGGCGTCGAGCATGTCCTGCATTTCGCTCTGAATCAAGTCAGCGGTTGCTCCCTGTGCAAGCAAGGGAAATCGCCGACAACAAGAGGAGGGGATGTCACCGCCCGCTAATTCTTTTTTTCATGCTCAAAATAATATAACTGCAACAGGTAAAAACACTACGTCACAAAAAAAATGAAAGCATCAGCGTGCATAAACGGTCAACAGCATACCATGTCATTGCCTTGGCCGATCTCCTTGGCGACAAGTGCAGTGACGTTGGGCAGCGGCACGTCCTCCGTGAAGATTCCATCCTCGGACAGCTCGAGGTTGTTGCGGACTCTTTCAATAACGTTGTACGTTTTGTGCGCCTGAGATTATCGGCGAGCGGGAGGGACAGGCGCAAACGAGAACACGTATCATGCATCACCGAGGGAGGCCGAAGAATTCAGTCTGAACGAGAACCACCAAAAGAAGAGAGGTGAGAGGTGGCGTCAAATAATTAATAGATACGTACCAGCGGCATATCCCCCTCCAGAAAAATTGTGGCGCTAGTAATGATGCGTCCGACGTCCACCGTCAAAGCCAGCTGCAACTGAAGCACCAAGCTCTGGGTCTTGCCATCGTCCCTGAGTTTCGCCAGGTCGTCCCTCATGAATTTCACCGCCTTGCTTTTGATGTCGTCCTGGCTCTCGTACTTCTCGACGAATTTCCCCACACCAGGCCAGTTCACAGCGATGACTTCGTCCCGCTCGAACCTGGAGCCCCAACGGTGTCCCGGCGTCTGGGGAGCGCGTACCCCGACTTCCTTGCGGAACAGGTCCTTGGCGAAGGCGCTGTGCGAAAGCAGGGTGTGCAGCTTGCCCAGGAATACGTCAATCTCCTCGCATACCAGCTGCTTGCCGATGTTGTTGAAGGTGTGCGAGAAGCACGGGATGACGACGGCGAACCTGAACACCAGGAGAAGCGCATCCATAGCAAGGCGGTTGGCCGCGCAGCTGTCACCGATCACGGCGCGGCAGTTGTTGGGGTCGAGGCGGAACTGATGGGTGACGATTCGGTTAGCCTCGCCCGCGATGTCCGCCCCCGTCATGCTCTTCTTCAGCATGCTCAAGTGCAGAACACGCTGCGCTGGCTACAACATGCAGGGTGGCAAAGGCGGGCGTGAGAGAGGGGGTGGGGGAGCCAAGGAAGGGTTGATGAGGCTGTCGGCATGTCGCGAAAATCATGAGTCATGTGCCAAACTGATCGACTTCAGGTCTACGTTGATTCCTTGGTGTCAAATCTCGCGGGAGCGCGAGAGTAGATGAGAACACGGCAATACCCCGTGCCGACCATCACGTACCTTTCCACTGGAGTCGATGAATCGGACCCCCAACCCAAAGCACTCGGCAAGCCATGGAGTAGCGTCGAAGCAGATGGCGTAGGGGCGATTGCCGATCTCGTGTTGGAGCGTCTTGTGCTGTTGTACCAAATACAAACACGAAGAAGCACAGAAATGGGGGGCGGGGTGCCAGCGGGAGATGATTAGAAATGTGTTGCAATGGAAGGATAAGAAGCTCTGTGTTTTGCACACGACCGTGTTGTGGGTTGAGCAGCCGCGGATGTGCAGAAGGGTTCAATATTTCATGTCTCACTGCGGGGTGATGGGTAGCACAGACGTAGTACATCCAAAGCGAAGCCTATCTCACCTCCTCCGTCAAGATGAACGGCACGTATTTTGCCAGGTGCGCACGGTGAGGCAAGTCCACCTTGCAGTGGCTGAGGAAAGCACGAAAAGTCGGGTTGTCGATCGCGTTCAGCGGGATGCCTGCCGCCAAACAGCCCTTCACCGCCTTGATCTGCGTCAGCTTGTCTTCGTCGCTCAGGGTGTCCCCGTAGATGCCTCCTGTGTCCTTCGACACCTCGGCATACTCGTGGAGCGTGTTCTTGTGAAACAACAACCGCCGAGCAAGCGATGGCATGGCGATGCAGTTGTGCGGACAAATTAATCACTGCGATTGACGACAAGCTTTGTGGCGAAGGGAACATGCGCCATGCAAAAATGTGGCAGAGACGCACCCAGCAGCACTTGGCAACCACAAGCTGCGAACACAATATTTCTGTCAGAAAGCACAGTCACACCCATACCCCGAGAAACAGCAGCAGTACCAGTTGCAGACAACTACGAAGTACTAAACAGCCACTCACTCTGTCCGCTTCCTTGGTCTTGAACAGCGCCAGCACATTGCTGATGTGCTTCTTGCCTTTGCAGTGGGTCTTCACACGGTCCTTGTGTAGTTTGATGACCTTGCCATGGCACGCGTGACACCCCATCTGGCCCTCGTCGATCACGTAGAGAGTCTGGTTGGGGAATTCCCGAATCCGTTGATGTATAGGCACCTGGGCGTCTTTCTTGGGGGTCTGCGCGCGCTTCGGTCCACGCGATTCAAAATCGCAGTCCGAAGATTGCGCCTTCTTGGCTCTTTCTCCCCTCCTGGTGCTGTTGGAGACGACTGCGCGCGGTTGGTTGGTGCGCTCCTCCCGCTCAGGTACAGGAAGGGTGTCGGCGATATTTTCTACTCTCGCCTGCCGTTTCTGCTGAGCTCGTTTCGCACTAGAATGGGCTCTTTTTTGGGCTGCAACGCCATCTTGTTGGACCCACGCCAGTATGGTCCCTTTTCCTGGCGCGGGGACGCTGGAAGCACCGGCTCCATTGCGACGCTCACTGTCACCTTGGGCGGCCGAGGTGCTACGAACGGCAGAACGAGCTCCGACATGACGGCCAGGCGCGGGGACGCTAGAAGCACCGGCTCCATTGCGACGCTCACTGTCACCTTGGGCGGCCGAGGTGCTACGAACGGCAGAACGAGCTCCGACATGACGGCCAGGCGCGGGGACGCTAGAAGCACCGGCTCCATTGCGACGCTCACTGTCACCTTGGGCGGCCAAGGTGCTACGAACGGCAGCACGGGCTCTGACACGATGATAGCTAGCAACCCAAACAGCCGCTGAAGATCGTGGGACACCAGCAGTAGCAGCCGCCGCTGGAGCCACCGCCGCCGCTGGAGCCGCCGCCGCCGCCGGAGCCGCCGCCGCCGCCGCTCCAGCGGCGGGACTGTCACCAACAGCAGACGGCAGGCGGAGACGGCGCTCGGGAGCACGGGACGCGGGTGTCGAGCGGGAGATAACCTCACAATCTTCAGCAGTTGCTCCAGCAACGGCAAGGGGTTGGGCATTGGCACTGCCGCCGACAGCAGAAGAAGGCCGACGGCGCTTGGGAGCAGGGGAAGTGGCTGTCGAGGAGGAGAGAAGCTCACATTCGGAATCTTCGCCATCACTACTGCTGGAGTACAGCCCTATTCCGAGGAGACCGCTCATCTATACCACAAGTGTGTCCGTACCGTTTACCGTGGGTGGTGTCTGCAGCGCGGTGCTTGGGTTGCGTGCGCTGTGTGCTGTGTGCTGTGTGCTCTGCTGCTGTGCTGCTGCGCTTGAGGGGGGGTATCTGATGGGATTTAGGGGGTATAGCCTGTATACACGGAGCCCCCTAAAAAAAAACGGTGAAAATCGGTGGGCGCCGGCAACAATCAGTGAGGCACCGCCCGTTTTCGGTGATCGGCCACTTTTTTTTCGGTGATTCAAAATCCTCACTTTTTTCGGTGACCTTTTCAAAATTCGGTGATTTTCGGTGATCACCTACGGAGCACAGGCCTACTGATGCCAACAAACAACACCCCGGGGGTGCCCGTGCTGTCTCCCCCCCCCCCGCCGAAAACAGACGACGATGGGCCTCCATCGCGATATCTCGCGGGCGGCGTCGGCGACAGCAGCGGCGGCGGGGGAACACGGGCACAGCCGAGGCGCGGGGCTCCGGCAGCGAGACGAAGAGGCAGACGGCGGAGACGAAGGCGGCCGCTATTTCCGGCGGCTCCGGCGCCGGCGGCGCGGCGGAGGGCCTCTCTTCCACGGGGGCCACGGGCACGACGACCACAACCACGGACCTGCCCAAGACGGGCTGCTCAACATCAACCACAGCGCGGCAGGCGGCGCGGGGAGAGCCTCTTCTCTCGCCGTTGGAGACACGTTTTCATCTTCCCACGGGGGGCACTCGCACGGCGGCGGGATGGGCCACAGCCATAGCCACGCCCACTTCCACGTCGACATGGCCACGCTCAAGAAACGGCCAACCCTCATCAGGCACGTACGCGTTCGGGATGATGGTGGTGGTGGTGGGGGAGCCCAAGGGTAATCTCGCCCGCGGTGGTTTTTTACTTTCGCGTGCTGAAAGCTGGCGTTGTTCTTTGTGTTGCATGATGCTTCCGCACTTGTGATCGCCGATTCGATTCCGCATCTCCACCCGATATTTGTAAGTAGATTACGTGCGTTCAACAAGACTACCCCGTTATTACCTCAGTCGAATATTCTTGTACATACGATGCCGCAGCAAGGAGAATTAACGGAGGATCCACCCGTGACCCACACGCGTGCCGTAACGTGTGTATGAACTATGTTTTTTTTTATCTCCCCGCAGGCTGTTCTTGGCTTCGATGTGCGTTCTCGCGGTTCCGCTCTGGCGGCGCAGCAGTCGCCTGGAGTGGGCGGCCCTGGGAGGGGTCTCGATGTTCTTGGCCGCCGTGGACATGAGCAAGTTCGCCATCAGCAAGCTGAGGGTGCAAGTCGGGCAGCTGTGAGTGTTGGGTCGAGAAGGGACACGCAAAACTCTTGGGTCACGCTGTCCTGTTGTTTCGTTTTCCGCGTTGGGGGATGAAGAGAGAGAGAGGTGCGTGTTTCTTTTTGGTGGCGGACGAAGAACGTACGGCCGTCTGCACACAACCCAGGGGTAGGTGTTGACGCTTGCGGTTGAGAGTATTACACTGGCTCATGCTCTTCTTGCATCCGCTTTCTTTAGAGCGTGTTTTGGTGTGTCACGTCGTGGACGTCTGGCACAGAGTTTCTTCTTTATCCAAGATTTCGCCCGTAGCTTGTTGGCGGTGTTGTGTTGTTTGCCGTTTGTTTCTGGCCCACTTCGAACCGGGTAGGCGTCGCCAGCAGTATTGCCCGAGCCAGCAGCCGGAGAAGCTTACGTGCAGCGTTTGGGCAAGGGAGTCACAACGAGGAGTCGTGTTCATTTTCGCTCTACTCTCTCATTTGTATGTTGTCTTGACGATATTATCCTCGATACGGCAGGTACTCGGGCTGGAAAGCCCACTCCGACCTGGCCACTAGCAGCCAGCAGGCAAATATCGAGTCGGCGGAGGCGGCTCGGGAAGTGGACGCTATCACGTGGGCTGGGGCGCTCGTCAACGTTGGTCTCGCAGCTTTCAAGGTGGGCTGGCTGTTGCATACTGTACGATGCCAATTTTTTTTTATTCTGGTGCTGGTGGTACATAGTTGGTGGTTATGGTGACGGTGACGGTGCTGGTGTCTTTGTTTTCCGTGTCGCCGGTGTTCGTTGCCACTGTTGTTGTTGTGGTTGTTGTTTTTGGTTATGCTGCCGCCGCCGCCGCCGCCGCCGCTACTTGCGCCTATTGCTCCGTTGCCGCTGCGTGGCACAGACAACGCGTTGCGTCCGTGCTTTTTTCCATCTCTCCCTGCGGCCTCTCCATCTCGTTTCCCACCTATTCGTTGTCCCTCTGCTGTAATTTATATCCACGTGTTTGTTTCAAAATCTCCCCCATCACTTGCTATGTTTTCATGTTTGTATTATTGTGTAAGGTTCAAAACCTCCACGCTCCCTAAATTTTGTATTCATGTGTGAGTGCTGTGCTTCAAATCCTCCACACCTCTTACATTGATTTTACTTTTGTGTGTATTTCGAAACTGCCTCGCTTCCTAAGTTTATATGTGCACGCATGATGTATGTGTATTTGTTTCAAAACTTGCATCACTTGCGTTAATCTTACCAGCTATTCGCGGGCATCTTGGGGCACTCTTCAGCAATGATCGCGGACGCCGGCCACTCCCTGTCGGACCTCCTCTCCGATGCCGTCACCCTCTGGGCCGTCCGCCTGAGTCGGTTGCCCCCGGACGAGGACCACCCTTACGGCCACGGCCGGTGAGAGGGGGGAGGAAGGTGTCTGTCTGTCGGGTGTGCCAAGGAGGGGGGGGGGGGGGGGGGGTCGGGAAGGTATTGGGTGTTTGGGTATGGCTCCGTGTCGCGTTGACCACTGGGTGATGCTTCTGTTGCGAGAGAGGCCAATAGCGGGGAGGGGTGGCTGGGTATGCTGACCACTCGTCCATTGCGAGATGGGACGGCAAGAGCGGGGTCGGAGGAGCGGAGAGACATACAGCTGCCAACGATGGTGCATGAGTTATACGTAGCGTTCATCGACCAGACAGCGCAATTCCTTCGAAGCGGAGCGGGAGTTGGGTGGAAGATCGAGCGGAATTGCTCTTGGCTGTGCGGAATGCGCATGCCATTTAAGCTTGTGTGAAGAACCTACAGTATTAAGCAGCACGGGACCGAGCCGGGTCATCATAGAACGTTGAACCGGCGATGGTTGCGGCTTACAGCGTTAACTCGCGTGCCTGCCCGCCAAACGCCGAAATCGAGCGACGACGGTGTTCGTTGCCTCTCGATGGGGCTCAAGGTTGTGTGGTGCCTTCCGTTGCACCGCCCAACGAGCTTCGAGAGCGCGGCCAATAGCCCGGCTTCCCAAAAGCGGAAATCCGTTAATAGTCAATACAGGAACGGCCTTGGTGGGGATTTTTTGAAGATTTATTAATAGTACATGTGCATACTTGAGGGTGAGCTTCGTGTGTCAAGGTCGGCGACGCACATGAAGCACGCCGTCCATGTGGCGGTGAAGGAGGTCGAAGACTGATTTTTCAGTCGTGTTATGTTATTGCGCGCGTCCTTGTGATGTTACCTTACATCCGCCCGTTGATTTTTTTTTGCGGTGCACAGGTTCGAAGCGGTGGGCGCGTTCATCATCGCGTTGATGCTCATGGGGGCGGGGTACGGCATCGGCAACCACTCGTTCGAGACGCTCAGGGAGGTCATCAGCCGAGGCGAGCACGCGGCGATACCGACGCGCTTGACGGCAGTGGCGGCTAGCGTCAGCATCATCGCCAAGGAGGCGTTGTTCCGGGTAAGGAGTATGATATGGTGCGGTTGTTGTAGGTGTCGTCGTCGTGGTCGTTGTTGTTGGGAGCGCTGTATATTCGCCAAAGCTCGCAACTTTTCTTGCACTCGCCAGTTCGCAACAGTTTTTTGGTTGTGGTTGGAGGTAGACACGAAACCAAAGCCACTATTATAGCAGGTGTCCAGCCCTCAGGCTACACCACGGCGCTAGGCCGCACCAGGCCCAACCCACCCCTACATCCTAACCCAAACCCTAACCCACATCCCAAGCTGGGTTGTTGTGCCATGGGTTGGCCTACTTCGCTGTGCCGAGCTACTGGAGCGCGCTTCGCGCTCGCCGGCTCTGGCGAATATACGCCTCGTCTTGTTGTTATTGTTGTTGGTGGTGTTTGCTGTTGCTGCTGGTGGTAGTGGTGCCGGCGGCGGTGGTGGTGTTGTCGTTGCTGATGACGGCGCTGATGGTGCTGCTTCTGCTTCTGCTGTTGCTGTTCTTGTTGTACATGTCATTTGTTGCCGTTGTTGTTGTTGTTGTCGTCGTCGTCGTCGTCGTCGTTGTTGCCGTTTTCGTGGGCGTTGCGATTGCGTAGAGACGGCTGTTTGTGTGGTTTGGTGCTCGCTGTTGCCCGTTGGAGGTGAACGGTGCGAAAGGTGGCGGAACTCCGAACAGGACTTGACCGATGCACGAAGGCGCTATCGAGGGTGGTGGTAATGGTAGTGTAAGTACCGTCTATTTACATGTTTCTCGAGGAGACGACGGTCGTAGTTGGCATGGCCTTTGACGCTGCCTTATCCTGCCGATCAATAGTGCCCGACCACGTTACGCATACACCTCGAGACCCCCCCCCCCCACACACACACTCTCTCTCAGGCTACCAACGCCATAGGCAAGAGGCGGAACTCCCAGGTGCTGATCGCGAACGCGTGGCACCACCGTACTGACGCCGTGTCGTCGGTGGTCGCTCTGCTCGCCATCGCGGGCTCCATGAGCGGCGCTCCGATGTTGGACCCGATTGCGGGGCTCATGGTGGCGGGAATGGTGGCTCTAACCGGGGTTCAGGTGTGATGTTCGCCTTTGGGGCCCTTGATGGAGATTTCGTTGTCCACTTGCCGCCTGTGGTGTGATTTTCCGGCGTGTGTGTGTGCTTTGTTTTTCATGTTTCGGACACTAGGCGAGCAAGCAAATGAACGCCCCCGCGGCCTGAATGGCGTAGACCCTGAGCACGGCGCTCGGTATCGATGCGCCTTTTTCTCCCCGCCTCGGTTGAAGACTCTCGTTTTTTCTTGTTCGATACGTAGTTTCTATGATTTCTTCTTTGATACGGAGTATATGCAATCCGACGTTTGTTTTTCTCCTATCCTGCCGTGTGTCTGTTTTGTTCGCAGGTATCGACGGACGCCATGGCGCAGCTGACAGATGCCGCGGACTACGACGTCCGCCGCAAGGTGGCGGAGATAGCCACTCAGGCAAGCCGAAAATGCTCTCAAAAACAATTATTTGCTGCGGGAAGCACGCGCAGTTCTTTCTAATGGCCATGGCTGTCTGGCGGATGAAGCGATCGCGTCGCGCGTGACGCCTGATGCACCGCGGAAAAAACATCCTTGGTCGCTCGTGATGCAGTGGGCAGGGGGCACGCAAAACGTGGAGTTGTACATGACGTGTACATGACGCTTCTTGTCTTTCATGTAGTAGATGTCACGGCGTTTGCACGTGCTTGATGGAGCAAATCCTGACTGCCGGTGCAGACGGACGACAGTTGTGCATCTATCACTCTCCGCTGTTGTGCACCTACCACTCTCGAGAGCCTGTTGCACTTGCCTCTGTCGAAAAAGTCCTGGTCGTATGTGTGCTCGTGAAATCATTCCGTCGAGTCCCCTGTCTCGCGTCAACAACCTGTGGTGGATTTCTTCATGTGTACAACCGACCGACTCGCGTGCTGAACTGAATTACGATCGCCCGCGGAGAGCAGGTGCCCGGGGTGTTGTCCTTCGACCGTGTCCGAGCAAGAAGGATGGGCCCGCAGACCCTGGTAGACCTCACCATACAGACCGACGACATGATCTCAGCCTCGGCGGCACAGCAGGTGAGACGTTGGTGAGGCGGGGGGAGGGGTGCTGCGGGGTCCCCTCGGATAATTTTGTTTTTTTTTGCACGCGGACCTAAATGATGTATGCTTATGTAGAGATTCGTTTTGGCATTCGAATTCAGCGCATTTTTTTCGAGTTTTGGCCCCCCTGCCAGGGATCTTGATTTTTCTTGCCCGCTGGCACTGGCGAACTTTTATTGCTCAGCCGATAAGCGCGGTAGATGATATGACGAAAGACACACACACGCATGTGTCGGCGTGCATGTTCTGCCCGACCTTATGTTCTAGTGCCTCCCCCCCCCCCGCCCTCCTGCGAGGTCAACGGTCTAACGACTACGGCATGCACGGCTATGAGTATGCCACCCCCCCCTCCGCCCTCCTTCTCCGACACAATGCAGATTGGCCAGCGAGTAAGGTGGGAGATCTTGGGAGAGCTCCCGTTCGTTGCGGACGTGATGGTCAACATCGCCGTCGAGCCTAAGCCCTGCCCGGCGATGAGCAGCCTTCGACCGCAAGAGGACATCGAGCAGGCGAGTTCTTCTTGGGGGGTGTTTTTTTTTTTTTTGCCTGTATGGTTTTTGTTGAGCGTTGTTTTGTGTCTGGTACGTTTTTTTTTTTTTTGTGTGTGTTCTTGGCCGAGGCGTCTTTGCTTCTTTCGTTCGTTCCTAGGTTCTGCTGTGTCTAACCTTTGTCCTCTTGGTTTTTGTCATTTTCCTTTGGCCGCTTTGTTCATCATTGTTTGTTAAAATGCCATTTTTTCGTTTTTTTGTTTTACCCACCCATCATTGTTTTGTTGGATTGCATTTTTTTTTCATTTTTTTTTGTTCACCCACCTTTTTATTTCGTCCAGCCCTTCTTTTGTTTTGTGTTGCTTCTTATTTTTGTGTTGCATTCCCCGGTGAACCTCTTTCTTATTGTTCATCCACACCGATGTAATCGTGCTTCTGACTGTCCGTCCACCCCGTGAGGTTGTTGTCTGGTTCTGTCGCTAACTCCGTACCGTTCAATGTGACTCAAAAATGAACGCAAATATAAGCAGGACATTCGCGATGTCGTCCTCTCGAAGCTTCCAGAGATCGAGAGCGTCCCGAAGATCATGGTCCACTACATCAACATGGTATGTATAAGAGCAGCAAATTTCCGACGAGAAAAACAGAACACAACGGGGGCGCGTCGGTTTCTAAACAGCGGTTTTTACCTTTTTTTCTGCTCTCCGTGGGCAGCTTCTGTGGTCACATTGTGACGTGTACCATCCAGGAAGACCAGTTTGGCGGCGGACCCGCCGAATCCCTCGCTGCCCCTCCCCCCCCCCA